TCTGATAGAAAATTGACGAGTTTTGATGAAAGATTTCTGCTTAAAAGTTGGTGTGTGTTAGGCTAAAATACTACTATCTTAGAAAAGGTAGCTATAGAGGGAGTTTTGAAGAAGGGCAACTGTTGCCCTCGCTGAAAGCCCCTCCCCTTCATGTTGCCCTCTCTTATCTCTCCCGTTCTCCTCTTAGCCTTGTTAATAGGTCTGTCCTAGCATCTTTCTTAAATCTAACCTCTTTGCTTGGTCTTATATGCACGTGCGCAGCTACACGCGTACGCGTAACGCGTTCGCTCTCCTATACTGTCTTCCTCTATACACTTCCTCCCAACTAAGTATATCTATATTCTTCTACCATAGACTCTACCTATACTAATCTACTTAACTCTTTAATTAACTACTTACCTAAATACAAGCTTATCGTATGTCGATTGCATCGCACTTGCGTTCTACCCTGCCATCTCCAAATCTATCTACACGAGCAGCACAGCCTCAGTAGCGCGACCTGCCGAGCCCTTCTACAGGAGCTTCAAGCCCAGTCCGAAACGCGCCCACTACTATAGACCGATCACGATTGGCAGACCTCTCTGCGCACCCCAACAACTCCGATTCCTCGCATTCCCCAGCTTCCTCTCTGCACTGGCTTCCTCTGTCCTATGCAAGACTCTCAAACTGGTCTGCCATGTCGTTATATCTGCTGTGCGCTCAAACACATACAAAGACATTGCCAAAATAAGCATGGCTGGATCAATCCTAGAAGCCAACGCAAGTCTAGAAGAGTAGGAAGGCCTACAGCTAGCGAGACGGTGCATTTTGCGAAAGTAAGCTGCCAAGCGTTCTTTACGCAGAGGACGTATCGAGTCTTGTTTCAAGTTATAGATACACCTAGATTTAAACTCGCGAGTGGCGTACCTACGCTTGATACAACTCTAGGTAGAGAAGAAGACTGTTAGGATCAAATAGAGAGACAGCTTACAGCTATAGAGCAGGAAGAGGCTAGAGACACTCCAACAACCGGATTTAGTATAGAGCCTTTAGGGACGTATCCTCTGAGCCTCGTGCCGTGGCTTGAGGTGACCCAGTGGCATGAATATCTTCGCGGCCACCGCCTATAGGACGTTGTGCAGCTTATTCGTATCCCAACACATACAGCTATCGAAAACAGTGACCGCCAATTGCTTGCGCTTATCGAAATCTTTGACAGGCTTGTTGATGAAGCTCGCATTGCCATCCTAGCTGATGAGGCAAGCGTGTTCGACTAGCATCGGGTAAACAGTTTTATTCGTGGTCGGCAGTACCATCGGCCACTTCTAGTCAAGCTATAGGAAGGGATATATAAGCGATATAAGAAAGTCTGGATGCAGCTGCTCTGTTTTGTTTCCCGCGTAGTGCTGCTGCGGCAGGCTTCTTTCCTTTACTATGTCGTCACGGATGCGTAGTCAACTGCGCTAGAATGGCTATTCGCTGCCCTCTAGAATACCTATGAGGAGGATGATAGAGAAAGAGAGTCCTAATTGTATTAGGATCTATGCCTGGAGTTGTGTATCTTGTTATTAGATTATTGTTTTAAAGGAAACGTCTACGATAGCCTTGTAGTTGGCTTTCTCGCTATCCTTGGCATTGATATTAAAAGAAGTGACTTCTGGGACCTAGTTTCGTATACACCTAATCTTTTAGCATTTGTTAAGCTAGCCTAAATTCTAGTTTTATAAAAGGGGATACGTTCCGCTAACGCTGGACTGATTGACTTCCTAGCCGACTTAATTGATGAGATGCAAGACCGATTCATGGTATATGGAAGCCGATCTCTAATGAACTGGATACTCAAGATCCGCTCGTATGGCTGCAAAGTCCGGGATAACACAACTGTCTTAGGACATATCATATGGACGGACGACGGCGAACATCTATCTTACAAGAACTTCGAGTTGTCTATGACTGCGCTCCGTTGGTTCATGCGTGATCAGGTTGAGCTGGCTCAGAAGCAGCTCCACGATCTGTTACTGCTACCGCCCGACAGAGACGCAGAAAGCAGAATAGACACCGTTCCCCCAGTGCGCTTACGAGAGCTAAAAGATGACCCAACTGTCAACACCCCAGACTGGAGTTTTCTTCTAGACAAGCGTAACGAGGATCAGCTCGCTAGTCATGATCGCTGGCTCCTCCGCCGTATTAGGGACCATGGTTGGCTTAGAAAGCAGTTCTTAGATGGCCAGCATTCTACTACGTAGAAAAAGAAACGAGTGAAGAGCTATCTTGATGCCATACAAACCTTCCTATAACGGCTTTTGCTCTTGGTTCATATAATAGGCGGACAGCCTGCTCGAGGGACAGAACTTCTTACACTTCAGTGGCGAAACTCGCAACACGGAATTCGGCGAAATATCTTTCTCGAGAATGGCCTAGTTACATTTGTGACTTCCTACCATAAAGGCTATAGCATTACAGGATCCACCAAGATTATCCACCGCTATCTACCACCTGAGGTCAGCGAGCTCCTTGTCTATTACCTCTAGCTTGTGGTGCCCTTTATTAGGCAACTCGAACGCCTTACGCCGGATTTCGTACCTGCGAACACGACCTCTTCCCTTCTTTAGTCTCGCTCGATAATCGACAAATCTGGGCATCGGCAGGACGTGCCTTAGCCAAGCAAGTGCCTGAGCGACGTACTAGCTAAAGAGTTCTCGCGACATCTCTCCACGCGTGCCAGCATTATTATATGGCGGCATTCAGCTATCGCTATCACTCGGCGCCATCTTAGACGATTGGGATTCAAACGAGACTACGATAGCAAAGAAGAGATGCAAACTATCGCTGACTACCAGGCTGCGCACGGCTCTATGTTAGCGGGTCAGTTATACGCTCGGGGGATAGAGGAAGCACCAGGGCATATTGCACCAATACGAGCAGAGTATCGCGCTATCAGTCGTGCATGGCATAGCTGCCTTAGATTTAGAGTGTTTCTTGGCAGCCGTCTAACAATAGCGATACCTAGTAGTCGCTGCCAGCCACAGCTAGGAACTCGTTCTAGTACTATACCTGATAAAATTGTTGTGGAGAAATGCACTAGCACGAGAGAGACTTTAAAGAGAAAGGAGAGAGATGATCAAGATAAGCTAGATCAATGGTTTCAGCATGGGCTTAGGTTTGGTAAAAGGGCTACACGGCGAAGCGTAATAGATAAACTAGTTAGTCTATAATCAACTTCTGTAGATTTATATAGGCGTTAGAGGTAAAGTCAGAACAGCGCTTTAATTTATTACAACTTTTATTATAGTTGCAGAAAACTCTCGCTAGTTCAACATACTACTTTTTATAACTATACAACCACTATAGCGTACGAAATTTTATAGAATATAATAAAAAGTTAACCCCAACCTTATCTATGCCAAGATCGAGGTAGGTAAGAGAGGGGGGGCTTTTGAGGAGGGCAACTGTTGCCCACTACTAACTCCCGCCCACTACTCACTCCCTAGGAGCTTGGCCCCAGCAGTGCTGTTGCTATAGAGACCGGGGTAACGTCGTACGACTAGGGTTGTGTCAGCAGAGTAACTAAAACAAACAAAAATTTAAATAGCGATCAGTTTACTACTACGTAGCAGTAATAGCACAGTTTACACTAACAATAGCATAGCTTGTACAATGATTGCTTACTACTATGGATTCGTTTAGAGAGATTTTTGTATATTTGCCCACACATTGCATCGCAATATGCAAGAGCCATAAGCAGGGCGTTGTCAAGTCACAGCTGCGCACCCACTTGGACACCAAACACCAGGAGCTGACTCCCCACACACGGCGCAGCATAGTACAGGTTCGTACCAGTCAAAGCTCAGCTACCGGAGGGTCACTCGGCTTGTAGGATCAGCGCCTGCGGCGCTGGCGATCACGGCGAGGCCTGGTAGCCTCAAACGCGCCGCCATCGAGGCTGAACATCGGGCGAAGCGTCGGCTCTCACGGAAGAGCGAGATCGACTTCGGCTGCGCGATACCCTTCAACGCCATACCGCAGTTGATTGAGGATGGGTTTCGGCAGCATGAGAAGGTGTTTCGGACGGGCAATCAGGGTATACTGGAGCACTACCAGACAGCCCGCCAATGTCTTGCGGAGTGTTTAGGTGATCCGCTCTGTGACTTGATGCTCATGATAGTTCTAACGCTGGCCTCGTCGTCGGTGACACCCACCGTGGCTCCTAAAGCGCAAGCATTCAGCGCAGGCCCCAAGAAGGACAGCTCCATGTTTACAGCGAGCTTGGTCACCCGAATGCTTTGGTCCTTACGACCGGAGGCCTTTCCCTGGGACACCAATAATGGCACTATACTTCGCGTGGCAGATATGACGAAGAAAATCGGTACGTTAGTCGAGGAAGAGACGAGTATAGCTAACGGTCAACTAGAACACAAGGGCGTCAGCAATCGGTTACTAAGGGAGCTAGGCTGGATCAAGGTGGTTCAGGGCAACCGAGACAGTCCGCGCAATAGTGAGATCATGCTTCAGGATCAAGCAGCACTGCTAAAACGAAGGAGAGAGCTGATGTCGTTAAGATCAGATGCGGATGGGTTTATAGGGTCTATATTTCGTAGCTGTGATAGGATCTAGGTCGATCGCTGCGCCTCTATCGTTATAGAGCAGTAGTAATAATCAAATTAGTTTTCTTATTAGTATACACTAAGGGCCTGTTTGTATACGCAAATAATAATAGTAGTAATATTCTACGGCAAGGATGAGCCTCTTCTACTACGAACGCTCCGCTAGCCATAGTGAGGTATATTTGAATGCCGAGGTTGCAACACGAAATACTACAAAAACCACCATGAGCGCAAGCGTGGACTAAAAACGCTATCTAGGAAGGTACGTAGGCGGGTGCATTGGTGTGTTTAGAAAGAAAAGCCTACTACATATCAGGTTTACTATATCCTACTGTATAGAGCAAAACATAGTTGGGGGTTGCGTATCACAGAGATGCGTAACTCCACCCCAGCCCGTATCCCAATGCACAGCAGAGGGCAAGGGTTCGCGGGATTTTTGGATTAGGAAGAAGAAGTAGGCAAGAAGCGTGAGGGCTTGCTTATAAGATGTAGTAAGCTAAACGAGCAATTGACGCGTTCAAGAAGATAGCCACGCGAGGGAGGCGCACAGTCACGTGAGTGACTGGTGTAGCATAAAGACACGGGTGGTGGATGAGGCTCTCAAGCAGAAAAGATAAGGGCAGCGATAGCAAAAGCATAACATACAAGAAGCAGCATGCAAGAAGCAAAATTAGGGAAACGGAATACAAGCAACAGGACATGGGGAACAGCCTCGCCCCCTTAGTTTACGCGTTTTGGTTCTAGCGCAAACCTAAGCGAGATTATGCCAACATACGGCGAAAGGAAACGATTAATATAAGTACCTAACGACGTCTACTAGCACACGTAATTCGCGAACACAGGGTATTAAGACAGCTATGCCTACTAATACTAGCCAGGCAGGGGGTGTCATGATTGCTTCCAACCGGAATGGGAGTATACGGGTATCGATAACAGGGACGTGCGAGTCAGGGACGGTCGATGAAGCCGTCTTGGAGTGGGTGAAGGACCAAAACCGGTACTGCTTCGATATGACATGCAAGGCGACGCTATCCTACTTTGTGTCGTGCCCAAAAGCAATGCTCTCGTCCATAAAACACGTTACGCTGACACGGACGATGATGTCTTCGGATGATTATAACAACTACGCATACGCAGAGGACCTTGCGCGAAAGCTACAGCAGGAAGTTGTGCTGGAGAGTATTACACTCGCGGTTCCACACGATAATGAGTTGCTCGATATAAAATCAGACGAGTTCGAGTGGTGGATGTGGACGCTACACCAGGGGGCGATTGACGGTTTTAAGGAAGGGCGTATTGCAATGGTTCGGTTTTTATTTCGGACGTTGTACACGACGGTCAAGGATGTAAAGAAGTTCAGAGCGTACGGAGAGATTCAACTTAGAGTAGTTGGACAGAAATATGAGGATTGGTTAGATTCGTGTATTAGGGCACGAGACGAGGAAGGGTTCGACGATAGCATAATGCGAGAGACGCCAAAGGAGCATTTGGATAGTATGTGGGAGCAATTGGAATATATCATCGAGATAGACGAGCGGCGGGAAGAAGAAGAGGGCACTGTACTTATTTTACGGCATAGATAGAGCTGACTATATTAGTTTCTTGGATATGAGCCCTGAATCCAGCTCTAGGTAGCCTATCCTATATGAGGCGACGAAAGAGGCAGTTGTATGGGAGTCGTGTTGCGCGTGGTGTTGACGCGTCAACGTCGACACCTCAATACCGAGTTTTTTCTACAGCTGCCTGGTATGGCAATTCACCTTTTAGACCTTACCATTCGAATGCCGCAACTACTTTATTGATGGCTGCCATGGTGGTGGAGTTATCACGTGTTGAAGTGGGTGGGTGGGGGTGTTGCAACTAGTGACTTGTTGCAAGCTACTATGGCCAACTAGTTACAGCAGTGCATCGCCTCGGTAGTTACGGTAGCTGCGAAGAAATCGTAATTACTACCGTAGTTAGCTTAACTATGTTTCACTTGATTGTTTAGTAAATGACGCCTGATAATCGCACTTGGTTGTAAAGAGCTGCTTATTCTTATTCTTATTATTAAACAAGGCGCGATAATGTCTCAACCTAAGACCTCCGCACGCTCCTGGAAATTCGACGCCGCAGCCCCGCACTTCCTCCTAGATGAGCTTTGGATCACCATTATCAGTTTTGATTGCGTGTTGGCATGGAAACAACTTTGACTCTCATGTCGAGACATGAAGCGACTCGCAACGCCTTTTCTTTTTCAAATTGTACGTTTCGAGCTTAGTACTAGCGAAGGTTACACGTCACTTCTAAAGATTGCTTATAACCCTGTATTAGCACCGTGCGTTCAAACTATCATTCTTCGCAGAAGAGTAGCACTGCAAAATTTTGACAAGTTCTCTCAATAGGAATAGAGTATTCGTCTACCTAAAAGCCCTTCTAATAGGTCTTTAAGAAAGAAGTGTGATCGTGGTCTACTATCGCATAGCGAATGGAAGTCCTTTCCACAAGGTCGGCGTCGATTTCTTCACTAGCAATACATGAGAGACTATGAGGCTATAGCAGAACGATTGCAGTCTATTCCAGACGGCGCGGATTCACGTCTGTGCAGGGTCGACTGTTAGCTTTACTAGCCATGCTAGGCATAGCTGTGGAGAAGACGCGGCTGAAACCGAGTACGATGAATCTACAAGTAATCTAGGGCCTGTTCGGTGTCGCTCCAGTAGCAGCTTCAACTCCTGTAACCGGTTAGAATATGCTACTGAAGGTGCTCCTGGGCGGCTGTTTGGTAAATCCCAGTAGCAGCTTCATCAACCATGGGTTGATTTTGCTAGCGCTGACGCGGTGGATTTAAACCCTGTCTAGTGAGAGATCAACGGGGAGCTTACCTCAAGTAGATGCCAAGAGCTCCAAGATGGTACAGTTGCTCGCGAGCTCCAGTACAGGACAGATCTGTACTGGTCAGAATTCGAACTGCTACTGGGAAAAAGCCGCCTGCTCAAATTTGGTAGAGCTTACTGGAGCACTAAATTTAACTAAAAACGCCACTAGTCATTCTGCTACTAGAATCTGCTACTGGACACCAAACAGGCCCCTAATCTAACGAACTACGAATTGTTAACTAAAACAAGTGTAATCATGAAATCCGCCCATCCTTTATACCCATTGCTTCTAGTCCTGTCCTCCCTAGCCTCTTATCTTAGTGGGAGGTTTGGGAGGATAATGGCCTTCTCTCGCTCTACTGGCCTCCTGAAGGCCCCCTCTTGGCGGGATGTCACTAGTCACGTGATCGCTACCCCGCAGAGATCATTACCTTCTGACGTTGACTTTAGTTAGCCTCCAACCCTCATCCCTACATCAATGAGAGAATCCTTCTTGCTACTCATAACATCACTCTATCTCTTAGACGTATTGTCTCAACACCCTAGAATATCGTTTTCCCGTACCAGATTATAAGGCGTCGGCTGCATGTAAGGTTCTAGTATGCCCGTTGTGTTGTAGCCTCTTTTCCTTTCAGGCCTTCCTAATCATGCCCAAGGCTCCAGATTCTCGCCGTGTTCATACCCAGAATTTGACTGAGCACCGTCAAGCTCGTGCTCAGCGTATCCGACAGCAGGGGAACGAGATGACTTTTCGCTGTAAGCGTTGTGAGGAGAAGAATCTTCGTTGTTTCGTAGACACTGCAACTGGCTGTTGTGCCGTTTGTATTGCTATGAAAGCTGAGTGTAGTTTACTGGAGGAGCGGGACAAACTTTCAGCGTATATGCGCGAGAGACGCTTAGCTCTTCTGCGAGCCGAGGCTGAAGTCGCTCGTCGTCAATTAGAAGTGGCTAAAATTGAGGCTCTCAAGCATGTGGACGCTGAAAAAGATGATTCCAACTCATCTATTCAAGAGTGTGCAGAAGAGCAGGCTGAGGAGCGTCAAGCTCGTGCGAAAAAGGTAGAGTACGCTGGTCTAGAGATGGTCACCAAGTGTGACTATTGTAAAGAGAAGGGCCTTCGCTGTTTTCTTGATGAAGTGACTGGACAGTGCGCTAGTTGTATTGCTATAGACGCGGAGTGTAGTATTTTTGTTTCCGAAGAAGAGTGGGAGAAAGTTAAGCAGAAAAAGCGCCACAAGCGTCTAGAGATCGCTCATCTGAAGGCGCGGCTTGCGCAGAGCAATGTAGAACTTCTAGAGGCTGAGATACAAGAGCAGTCCTATGCTCATCACGATCTTGCTGTGGCGAAGGAGGTGGATAAGGTAAAAGAGCAGGCTGAGAGGAGCTCCGCCTCTGGTACAGACCTTCCTGTCGAACTACCGCTATGTAGACCTTTAGCTGATTTGGGCTAGTTACATAATAACTGTTTGTTATCAACAAGAGACATCTTTCAATAGGGGGTGGAAGAGGGCGGAAAGCGAACGAGCTGGACCGCAGCAACAGCGTTGCTAGGAGAACCGGGGTGACGTCTGATTAGTTACTGGTTGTATCAGCAAAACAACAAAACATGCAAATCAGCACTGATTTGCTTACACTGCTATGTAGATAATACTCGCGCTTAGCATTAACTATCTCTACGCATTTGTGATTTATTTATCTACTAAGACTTAGACTACAAACGCAAGCGTCTTATGGAGCTACCCATCTAGAACAGCCGCGTGCCCGCATCACAGGGTGCAGAGAGCAGCAACGGCAGCCCGCCCGCGCGCAGCACGACACGAGTAGCAGGAGACAACTATGACGATATTTTCTGCTTCTTAGAAGACTTTGGCGTGTTGGTGTGTAAGGAGCATTGCAGCGGGGTTGTTAATCTCAATAGACATCTGTTGGAGTAGCACAGAATACCGGTGAAGGAGCGAAAAGAGATTGTACAGCGCTTTGCGCACTATGAGAGAAAAGAGCCGAAGGATGTTGAGCTTCCTGAGCAGCCCGCTTGCGTATCTGAAGAGCTGGGGACGCCGCTAGATGGATTTCGCTGTAAAACATGCGAATTTCTCACTATCAACATTAATGCAATTCGCATACACTTGAAAAAAAAAGCACCAGCAAGCTTGGGGTGGAGAGAAAAGTGCGCTCTTTCATTCTGTCAAAGTTCAGACGTTTTTCAGAAGTGGTGGGCTGCAGAAATATTTTTTAGTTGATTTGGGTGTTGGGGTTGATTCGGAAAATGGGGAAAAATTAGATCAAAACCAAGTTATGGCGGAACAACTCAACAATTAGAAAAAAGTGCGAGAACAGCTTGTCAAGGAGCGGGAAATCATGGCACCGACTGCAAGGATTGACAAAACAGGCTGGTTCAAGAGAACGGGGTGGTTGGCGTTGCTGGAGGGCCGAAATTTGGCGCATCTGGGACATCAAACGCGCTTGCCCGACCGCAACGAAGCACGGCTGCAGCAGGCTGCAAAGCTGACAGAAGAACTGATTGAGCGATGCGTCCGTGGATTGGCAACACTGCCGGGGGAGACGCGGCGCTGGCTTTGTAGTGCGCAGCCGACTGTTATTCATTAGCGGCTGCTAGTATGACTATAGAACCCCGCGAGCTAGGCTATGTATGCGAGCTATATCGTCTGGTTTGTCTGTTTTTATTTACATATTATTGCAGATGAAGAGAGTCGGGTGGACGAATATCTGGCACAGAGAGCGAGCAGGACGACAGCGACTACGACGACAGTGATAGGGAGGGAAAGGTTGGTAGCAACAACGACGCTATCGTGCAGAGACAGCTGCGCAGTGCTGGGCTAGCTGATAAGATGAAGAATACCCGCGAGCTGTTCAGGTGGAAGGACGATCAGCATTCGGTGGCAGTACAGCTATGGCTTTCGCTAGGCGACAACGACACAGCTGCGCAGACAGACAAGCTAGTTAACTAGCTAGCTTCGTTCATTCTCACAGGCTATGGCAGTGATAAGTTTTCAAGTAGGTTAGTACAGTATCTCGCTATGCTGGGTATCGACACCCGGACAAACCGGTTGCGCACGGCAAAGAATTTCTCGTAGATACTTGCTAGCATGGTGTAGTGTGTTCGAGTATTGGCTGTAGAGAAGATAGACAGGCGCAAGCATCTAAAGAGGGCAGCATATAGCAGAAATAGCAGATGTAGGAGAGTATGTTAGGGCTACCGCTGCTCCCGAAAGAGAAGACTATTTAGGTTGAAGACGGGCGAGCTGCAGTTGTATAGCGGGTACTGCAGTAGGGGCTGGGGAAGTAGGATGTTGTGTTCCGTTTGGTGGAGTAGGAGTAGGCTTTGTACGCGGTGTTGGACAAGCAGACGCCGCTGGTGGTAGTGCTTCTAATAGGAGGGGGCAAGAGCTTGCTGCTCAGGCTGCTGGTATGCATAGAGGAGAATGGGGTGACGGTGGTGGTGGTGCGGTACCGAGCGTTTATTAAGGACTTGGTCAGGGCAGACGTGGCTGGCGATATTACTAGAAACAGCCAGTTTTTGGGGTATGCTCGGCTGATGAAGGAGAAAGAGCAGCTGCAGCGGGTAGTAGTGGACGAGTGTCATTTGGTGATTACGTCACGGCACTGGCGGGAGGATGTGAAGATAAGCATGCTGGTGGGCAAGGCTATGTACATGCGGGCGGGCACAACACGGGCGAACGCGCGGTACTTTGTATGTTGGTGTC